CTGCAAACAATACATTCAAAGTTGGACTTTTTTTTTTTTTCTGAGATGAAGTCTTCCTCTGTTGACTCTGTCTCAAAAAAATAAATAAATAAATAAAATATAATCTGATCTTTTCACCACATTGCTTTAGGGCCTTTAATGGCTCTTTCTGCTATTGGATAAGTTCCGAACTCTAACTTCACCCTGCATGGTCTGACCACTAACTTCCTCTTATGCAAGCCCAATCTCCCCTCCAAACCTCCACCTGGCTAGCTATAAAATAGAATCTCAAACCCTAAAGACTGCTTTTCTCATTGCTTTCTTTCTTTTGAGATGGAGTCTCGCTCTCTCACCCAGGCTGGAGTGCAGGGGTGCAATCTCGGCTCATGGCACCTCTGCGTCCTGGGTTCCGGTGATTCTCTTGCTTCAGCCTCCTGAGTAGCTGGGATTACAGGCTCCTGCCACCACACTAAGCTAATTTTTGTATTTTTAATAGAGATGGGGTTTCACCATGTTGGGCAGCCTGGTCTTAAACTCCTGACCTCAGGTGATCCATCTGCCTCAGCCTCCCAAAGTGCTGGATTACAGATGTGAACCACCGTGCTCGGCCTCCCATTGGTTTCTTTGCTTGATAATATATTGCAATTATATTAATATTCACATAGAATCTGTTTTTCTGAAGGCATAAATGCTAATATATTTGGGAGGTTTCTTTTCCTTTTACATTTTGATTTTTATTTTATTTTAGAGATAGGGTCTCACTGTCACTCAGGCTGGAGCACAGTGGCTTGTTCATAGCTCACTGCAGCCCTGACCTCCCAGGCTCAGGTGATCCTCCCACCTCAGCCCTTCGAGTAGTTGGGACTACAGGGCATGCTACCATGCCTGGCTAATTTTTGTATTTTTTTTTGTAGAGAGAAGATCTTACTATGTTGCCCAGGCCTCAAGTAATTCTCCCGCCTTTGCCCCACAAAGTGCTGGGATTACAGGCGTAAGCCAAGTTTTAAGCGGAAGAGACTGGTTGTCTTTTAATGTTATAATTGGAAAGATTTGGTAATTTCCTGGCACACAGGTTTTTAAAAGCATGTACGCAATAGGGCTTGTTTTTTTAATACTCTTGGAATCCTCCTGCCGCAATGTACGTAAATCCAGGCTAATCCACTAGAGGATGACAGACCAAAGAGAGATGTGAATCAGCCAGCCCCAGCCAGCCCACCAGCTTATTGCAGAGTACGCTCAGCTGAGATGGAACCGATCTTATCCAAACCAGAATCATCCAGTGCAGTTTCGCCCAAATTGCTGACTCTCGGAACTATGAACTAATTGAATAGCTGTGTATTTTAAGTTTTAAGTTAATTGATGATACAGCAAAACCTAACTGATGCCATGTGCTGATTCCAAACACTGGGTACTCATGTTAAAAGAGCATCACTGGCCAGGCACACTAGTCTACACTGTAATCCCAGCACTTTGGGAGACCAAAGCGGGAGGCTCACCTGAGCCCAGGTGTTTGAGATCAGCCTGGGAAATAACATAGCGAGACCCTGTCTCTACAAAAAATTTAAAAGATACCCAAGTGTAGTGACGTGTACCTATAGTCCCAGTTACTCGGGAGGCTGAGGTGGGAGGATCACTAGAGCCCAGGAAGTCAAGGCTACAGTGAGTGAAGGTCATGCCACTGCACTTCAGCCTGGGCAACAGACTGATACCCTGTCTCAAAAACAAAAACAAAACAAAACAAAATGGCTGGGCGCAGTGGCTCACGCCTGTAATCCCAGCACTTTGGGAGGCTGAGGCAGGCGGATCACCTGAGGTTGGGAGTTCAAGACCAGTCTGACCAACATGGTGAAACCCCGTCTTTATTAAAAATACAAAATTAGCCAGTCATGGTGGCACATGCCTGTAATCCCAGTTACTTGGGAGGCTGAGGCAGGAGAATCACTTGAACCCGGGAGGCGGAGCTTGCAGTGAGCCAAGATTTTGCCACTGCACTCCAGCCTGGGTGACCAGAGCGAGACTCCATCTCAAAAAAACAAAACAGTGTTTGTTTCCCACTCAGTCAGTTTCCATCTCAGCTGAGCCAGCTGCACTCCACCTGGTCCTCAAGCTAATAGATTTCACTTTCTTGAAGGCCCACAAAATCTTTTTTTTCTTTCTTTCTTTTTTTTTTTTTTTGTTGAGACAGAGTCTCACTCTGTCACCCAGGCTGGAGTGCAGTGGTGTGATCACGGCTCACTGCAATCTCTGCCTCCCAGATTCCAGCGATTCTCATGCCTTAGCCTCCTGAGTAGCTGAAATTACAGACGTGCGCCACCATGCTTGGCTAATTTTTTGTATTTTAAGTAGAGATGGGGTTTCACTATATTGGCCAGGCTGGTCGTGAGCTCCTGGCCTGAAGCAATCTGCTCACCTCAGCCTCCCAAAGTGCTGAGATTACAGGCGCGAGCCACTACGCCCAGTCACAAAATTCTTTAAAGAAGCCAATCCCATCCTCCCTCAGGAACAAAGGAGCCACCTCACCCTCTTGTTACAGCAGATCCTGCCTCCCACAGTCACCCTTCTCCCAAGAGCAATCTCCATCTGACCCTGCATGGTGCGTGGTGCCCTCCTGCCTCAGGCCGTGAGTACATGTAGCTAAACTGCTGTCAGTCTTATCTGTCCAGTGTCGAGTGTTGTGTGTTCAGCCATCCCATAACCCTAGCGTGGGACTCCCTCCCTCACCAACCAGAAGAGGAAGTCAGCAAACCGTCTACCAATTCTTATCCAGATTTGTCCTCTTTAGCTGCAGCTTTTGCAATACTCTGGTCATACTCATAGCATTCTGCTGGAATGTCCGCACCTGACCTGGGCCTACATGCAATTCTGCTTTTATTTTGAGAAAATGATTTATCATTCTTTCTGCTTTTATTTTATTTATTTATTTATTTATTTATTTATTTATTTATTTAGAGACGGAGTCTCGCTCTGTCGCCCGGGCTGGAGTGCAGTGGCCGGATCTCAGCTCACTGCAAGCTCCGCCTCCCGGGTTTACGCCATTCTCCTGCCTCAGCCTCCTGAGCAGCTGGGACTACAGGCGCCCGCCACCTCGCCCGGCTAGTTTTTTGTATTTTTTAGTAGAGATGGGGTTTCACCATGTTAGCCAGGATGGTCTCGATCTCCTGACCTCGTGATCCGCCCTTCTCGGCCTCCCAAAGTGCTGGGATTACAGGCTTGAGCCACCGCGCCCGGCCTCTTTCTGCTTTTATAATTTGTTCTATTTTAAATTATTTTTCTCATTTTTGCCTTTGCTCCTCTCTTCTTAGCATTGTATATTCAAAAGAATACCCTCCTACTCTACATTTTAATCCAAGACAGAGGAATGCAACAGGCAGAACCCCTGAGGCAGGGGCAGAGGGATGTTTGGGGAACTGTAAATGGGAGGTAGACAAGAGACCAAACTGGACTTTAAGTTGTTTCAGCAAGTATACAGCTTAGAAAGGATCTCATTGGTCTGGGTCCTAAAATAGCTCAATGGACGGCTGCTAACTCAAAACTTTTTTCTCACTACTCTACAATTAAATCTCAGTTGAACTCTGGAAAGATTCTGGAATACCTAGGTTATTTATTTCTCAGTGTCTATTTCACCAGTAGTTGTAACCATCATTCAACCAAACATCTCCATTTGAGTAGCACAGGCTATAATGGATTTTCTCTAATTAAGATTACTCAGCAGTGGCCGGGCAGGTGGTGGGCTCACAATGGTAACCCAGGACTTTGGGAGGCTGTATTAGTACATTTTCACACTGCTGATAAAGACATCTGAGACTGGGAAATTTACAAAAGGAAGAGGCTTTTTTTTTTTTTTTTTAATTTGTTTTTTTGAGATGGAGTCTTACTCTTGTTGCCCAGGCTGGAGTGCAACGGCAGGAGGTCAGGAGTTCGAGACCAACCTGGCCAATATGGTGAAATCCCTTCTCTACTAAAAATACAAAAATTAGCTGGGCATGGTGGCGCATGCCTGTAGTCCCAGCTGCTCGGGAGGCTGAGGCAGGAGAATTGCTTGAACCCATGAAGCAGAGGTTGCAGTAAGCCAAGATTGCACCACTGCACTCCAGCCTGGGTGGCAGAGTGAGACCCTGTCTAAAAAAACAAATTAGACCTGCATGAACTGTTTTTGATGTATTTCTCAATTTCCTTGTTTGTGTTTCCTTATTTCTGAACATGATGTATGTTTTAAATTGAAAGCTTTAGCTCACTGCAGAAAGTCTCCTAAGTCACATCTCTTCCTTTGCAAGAGTAGGCAAAGAAGGATCTAAGGGCTTGGCTTGTTTGAAAGAAGCAGACCCCCTAAAGTCACATCTTTAGGGAAAGTGATACAAGAGCTTCTGCACCTCCTGATAGAGGAAGTCCAAAGGGTGTGCACACACAATGGTGCCTGAAGAAGAGCCTCAAGACCGAGGTGAGCATTCATCTTCTCAGTTCTAGGGAAGGTAGTAACAGCAGGATAGAGTGGGAAACAGGCATTGAGGTGATAGGGGTGACTTTGGAAGAAGAAATAGACAGCTTTTCATACATAATAATAATTTCAGTATGGAAATAGATATGGACCTAAGATACTTGGATCAGGGAAAGATGAAAGAAAAAAAGAAAACAACTCGGGCCTAGAAGGCCTTAAAGGAAAATGAGTTTGGTCAGGTGTGCAAGCACATGCCTAAAGTCCCAGCTACTCAGAGACTGAGGCAGGAGGACCACTTAAGCCTGGAAGTTTGAGGTCAAGGCTGTGCGATTCAAAGGTAAAGTGAGTAGGGAATTGGAAAGTACAGTTTACTCTGAATGAGTTTTGCCCGGATTTGTCTTGGGTTCCAGGGTACTAACTGGTCATTTGTTCTGTAATCTCTGTAATTTCTGTAATCTCTTCTTGCTTTCACATTTTTTCTGTTTTAATTAGTTTTGATCATAGCCTGATTTTGTTGTTCTAAGATTTTTGGGACTCTGGCTTCCTGGGTCTTCAGCAGTGGAGATTATGACTATGCATTTGTCTTGCTGATCTGACAGAGAAAGGAGTCTGGTGGTTCCAGTTGAAGGTCTGGTCTGTGGCAGTCGTATCTATCTTGCTCCTCTGTGTCTGTTTCACTGTGAGTTCTGTGGGTAAGTTCTTGGCTGGAGTGCAGTCATCTCTTGGTCCTTTTCCCAGTCACATTCTATAGATTTCCTGAAGAAACAGGTTCCCCTTTCTAGACATAAAATGGCAACCCTAACCGAGAAGGCCATGTTTTTCATAAAATAAGTTATTACTATTATTAATTATTTTGGATAATTGTCTATACTTCCAGGTTTCTTTGCCTGGTTTTAGTTGCATTTTCCAAATGTGATCATAACTGTCTTGGTCAGCTTGGGCTGCCATAACAAAATACCATAGAGTGGGCCAGGCATGGTAGCTCACGCCTATAATCCCAGCACTTCAGGAGGCCGAGGCAGGCAGCTCACCTGAGGTCAGGAGTTCAAGACCAGCTTGGACCATACAGTAAAACCCTGTCTCTACTAAAAATACAAAAATTAGGCCGGGCGCGATGGCTCAAGCCTGTAATCCCAGCACTTTGGGAGGCCGAGGCGGGTGGATCACGAGGTCAGGAGATCGAGACCATCCTGGCTAACATGGTGAAACCCCGTCTCTACTAAAAATACAAAAAACTAGCCGGGCGAGGTGGCGGGCGCCTGTAGTCCCAGCTACTGGGAGGCTGAGGCAGGAGAATGGCGTGAACCTGGGAGGCGGAGCTTGCAGTGAGCCGAGATCGCGCCACGGCACTCCAGCCTGGGTGACACAGCGCGAGACTCCGTCTCAAAAAAAAAAAAAAAAAAAAAAATAGCTGGGTGCAGTGGCTCACGCCTGTAATCCCAGCTACTTGGGAGGCTGAGATAAGAGACTCACTTGAACCCAGGAGGCAGAGGTTGCAGTGAGCTGAGATCACGCCACTGCACTCCAGCCTGGGTGACAGAGTGAGACTCTGTCTCAAAACAAAACAAAACAAAACAAACAGAAACAAAAAACCCCATAGACTGAGTGAGTTAAAAAACAGAAATTTAGGCCGGGCGCGGTGGCTCACGCTTGTAATCCCAGCACTTTGGGAGGCCGAGGCAGGTGGATCACCTGAGGTCGGGAGTTCAAGACCAGCCTGACCAACATGGAGAAACCCCGTCTCTACTAAAAATACAAAATTAGCCGGGGTGGTGGCACATGCCTGTAATCCCAGCTACTCGGGAGGCTGAGGCAGGAGAATCGCTTGAACCTGGGAGGTGGAGGTTGCGGTGAGCCGAGATCGCGCCATTGCACTCCAGCCTGGGCAAAAAGAGCGAAACTCTGTCTCAAAAAAAAAAAAAAAAAAGGCCGGGCACGGTGGCTCAAGCCTGTAATCCCAGCACTTTGGGAGGCCGAGGCGGGCGGATCACGAGGTCAGGAGATCGAGACCATCCTGGCTAACACGGTGAAACCCTGTCTCTACTAAAAACTACAAAAAACTAGCCGGGCGAGGTGGCGGGCGCCTGTAGTCCCAGCTACTCGGGAGGCTGAGGCAGGAGAATGGCGTAAACCCGGGAGGTGGAGCTTGCAGTGAGCCGAGATGGTGCCACTGCACTCCAGCCTGGGCAACAGAGCGAGACTCCCTCTCAAAAAAAAAAAAAAAAAAAAAAAAACAGAAATTTATTTTCTGATGGTTCTGGAGGCTGGAAGTCTGACATGAGGATGCCAGGATGGTTGTATCTGGTGAGGTCCCTCTTCCTGGCTTACAGGTGATGCCCTCCTGCTGTGTCGTCACATGATGGAGGGAGTGCCAGCTCTTCACGGTTTCTTCTTATAAGAGTACTCATCTCATCATGAGAACCCCCCTCATCACCTCATCCAAACCTGATTTCCTCCCAAAGGCTCTATCTTCAAATACAACAAATTGGGGCTTAGGGCTTCCACATATGAGCTTGGGGAGGACGCAATTCATTCTATAACAATAACTCCACTTTGATGGGAGTGCTGATGGTAGGTACCATCTAGTTGATTTGCTCCTTTGTTTTAAAAAAAGTCTCTATTGGGAACATAACTATTATTCTTTCTATGATGCTGTAATTGTATTACTGTGGGGTTTTAATCTTCACATGAGATTCTTCCCAATATGACAGGAAAAACTGTTCATATGGCCAGGCAGTGGCTCACACCTGTAATCCCAGCACTTTGGGAGGCTGAGGTGGGAGGATTGCTTGAGGACAGGAGTTCAAGACCAGCCTGGGCAACAGAGTGAGACCCTGTCTCTATAAAAAATTAAAAATATAACTTGGCTTGGTGGCACGTGCCTGTGGTCCCAGCTACTCAGGAGGTTGAGGCAGGAGGATCGCTTGAGCCCAGGAAGTTGAGGCTGCAGTGAGCCACAGTCTTATCACTGTACTCCAACCTGGGTGACAGAGAGACCCTGTCTCAAAAGAAAAAAAAAAGTTTATACAGTGATACAATGGAAGAATAAACAAAGTAAACTATTATTTAACTGCTACTCCCTTTGCCAAGTTTTATATTTTTGTGACACCTGAGAAATTTCCTAACTCTCTCGTTTACTATTTGGGTATCAACATGTGCTCTATTATCTAATAGAATGATTAGAAACACAAATGAAACATCTGTGAGGAAGTTACTGAATACGATGACTTCCTATGTCAAGTAAAAATGTGTTGATGATACAGTCTTCAGTTTCTTTCTAGTTGTAAATACATCTCACAGTTTTCAATGTAACCCTAAGAAGCAGAATTATTACTAAGGTTAAACTTTGCTTTGCTTTTTATAACAAAGGGCAAGAGACAAAAGGGCTTAAAGATGTGATATGGTGGGGATAGTTGTCCCTTCCAAGTCTCATGTTGAAAATTTGAAATTTGGAAGGGACAACTATGCCTTGAAATTTGAAATCCCCGATGTTGGAGGTGGGGCCTGGCAGGAGGTTTTGAGTGATGCAGGTGAAACCGTCATGAATGGCTTGGTGCCCTCCTCGAAGGAATGAGTGAGTTCTTGCTCTGAGTTTGGGTGAGATCTGCACCTCTCCCTCACTCTTTCTTGCACCCTCTCTTGCCATGTGATATGCCGGGTCCCGCTTTGCCTTCCACTATGACTGAAAGCTTCCTGAGGCCTCACCAGAAGGTGAGCAGATGCTGGCACCATGCTTACTGTACAATCTGCAGAACTGTGAGCCAGTAAAATGTCTTTTCTTTATAAATTACCAAGTCTCAGGTATTCCTTTATAGCAATGCGAAAACGGACTAATACAAGATGGTTATTTAATTATTTGAGAGGAAAGAAGACATGCAAGAACTTACAGACATAAATTAAGAGAAAACAGAAGAGTTTGACTAGGTTTAGTCTCAAAATCAGAATGATGAAATACATGAATAAAGAATTAAGTGAGGATAAGTGAAAAGTCAGATCTTGCTCTATGTGCATGCCAGTGAACAAAAGAGACCATTTTTAGTGAAGATGTCTAAATGTCTCCAAAAGGTTAGGTTTTACCTTATATTTAATTTGACCCAAATGGTTTACTTACAGTTACAGCCATCAGAAAACTTTAGAAAAACCAAAAGGCCTGTGGTATTTCAAGATTAATAGAATTAGATGCTGTTACCTAGTATCAACAAATGCTTACCGAACACCTCCCGTGAGCAGGCCACTTTTCTAGGTGCTGGGTATATAGCGTCAATACAATGAAATTCCTTCACTAGACTGTATGTTATAGTAGGGGAAGACCAAGATATATACACATGCAAACTTATAAACAAACAAGATAAATTGATATATGAAAGGGTTGAGGACGTATTTTTTACTGGGCCTGCAGAGAAAGAAGCATGAGAAAAGAGCAGTATGGCTTGAAATGGGATGAGAGAGGCATTGCAGACTTTGTAAGAGTATAAGGCTATTTTATTATTATTTTTTTTTTATTATTTTTATTTTTTGAGATGGAGTCTCGCTCTGTCACCCAGGCTAGAGTACAGTGGCTCAATCTCAGCTCACTACAAGCTCAGCCTCCCAGGTTCATGCCATTCTCTCGCCTCAGCCTCCTGAGTAGCTGGGACTACAGGCACCCACCACCACACCCAGCTACTTTTTTGTATTTTTAGTAGAGACGGGGTTTCACCATGTTAGCCAGGATGGTCTCGATCCCCTGACTTTGTGATCCGACTGCCTCGGCCTCCCAAAGTGCTGGGATTACAAGTGTGAGCCACCACTCCTGGCCCATTATTTATTATTATTATTTTTTTTTTTTTTGAGACAGAGTCTCGCTCTGTCACCCAGGCTGGAGTGCACTGGCTCAATCTTGGCTCACTGCAAGCTCTGCCTCCCGGGTTCATGCTATTCTCCTGCCTCAGCCTCCCAAGTAGCTGGGACCACAGGTGCCTGCCACCACGCCTGGCTAATTTTTTGTATTTTTAGTAGAGATGGGGTTTCACCATGTTAACCAGGATAGTCTCGATCTCCTGACCTCGTGATCCGCCCGCCTCAGTCTCCCAAAGTACTGGGATTGCAGGCATGAGCCACCATGCCTGGCCTGTTATTACTATTTTTGAGATGGAGTCTCGTTCTGTTGCTAGGCTGGAATGCAGAGGCGTGATCTTGACTCACTGCAACCTTCGCCTCCCAGGTTCAAGCAATTCTCCTGCCTCAGCCTCCTGAGTAGCTGGGATTACAGGCATGCACCACCATGCCTGGCTAATTTTTGTATTTTTAGTAGAGACAGGGTTTCACCATGTCAGTCAGGCTGGTCTCGAACTGCTGACCTCGTGATCTGCCCGCCTTGGCCTCTGAAATTGCTGCGATTACAAGGGTGAGCCACCGCACCTGGTCTTTTTTTTTTTTTTTTGAGACAAAGCCTCGCTCTGTTGCCCAGGCTGGAGTGCAATGGCACAGCCTCTGCTCACTGCAACCTCCACCTCCCAGGTTCAAGTGATTCTCCTGCCTCAGACTCCTGTAGCTGGGATTACAGGCATGTGCCACCATGCCCAACCAATTTTTGTATTTTTAGTAGAGACAGGGTTTCACCATGCTGACCAGGCTGGTCTTGAACTCCTGACCTCAGGTGATCTGCCTGCTTTGGTCTCCCAAAGTACTGGGATTACAGGTGTGAACCACTATGTCCGGCCAGAAGGTTATTTTTTTGTTTTGTTTTGTTTTTTTGAGATGGAGTTTCACTCTTGTTGCCCAAGCTGGAGTGCAATGGCAAGATCTTGGCTCACTGAAACCTGTGCCTTCCGAGTTCAAGTGATTCTCCTGCCTCAGCCTCTTGAACAGCAGGGATTACAGGCGCCTGCCACCACGCCTGGCTAGTGGTTTTTTTCAAGATAGAGTCTTGCTCTGTTAACCAGGCTGGAGTGCAATGGTACGATCTCGGCTCTCTGCAACTTCCGCCTCCGGGGTTCAAGCAATTCTCCTGCTTCAGCCTCCCAAGTAACTCAGATTACAGGTGCCCGCCACCATATCCAGCTAATTTTTGTAGTTTTAGTAGACCATGTTGGTCAGGCTGGTCTCGAGCTCCTGACCTCAAGTGATCCACCAGCCTCAGCCTCCCAAAGCACTGGGATTATAGGCGTGAGCCACTGCGCCTGGCCAGCTGGCTAATTTTAGTTTTTATTTTTAAATATAAATAAAAATATATTTATATTTTTATATTTTTGGTGGAGATGGGGTTTCACCATGTTGGCCAGGCTGGTCTTGAACTCCTGACCTCAAGTGATTCTCCCACCTTGGCCTCCCAAAGTGCTGGGATTACAGGCGTGAGTCACTGTGCCCGGCCACAGCATAAGGTTGTATAGCACAACACAGCTCCACTTAAAAGAATGAGAACTGCCGGGCGCATTGGCTCCACGCCTGTAATCCCAGCACTTTGGGAGGCCGAGGCAGGCAGATCACGAGGTCAGGAAATCGAGACTATCCTGGCTAACACGGTGAAACCCCATCTGTAAGAAAACTACAAAAAAAAAATTAGCGGGGCGTGGTCGCGGGCGCCTGTAGTCCCAGCTACTCGGGAGGCTGAGGCAGGAGAATGGCGTGAACCCAGGAGGCACAGCTTGCAGTGAGCTGAGATCCGGCCACTGCACTCCAGCCTGGGCAACAGAACGAGACTCTGTCTCCAAAAAAAAAAAAAAAAAGAATGAGAACTAACTCTGCTTTCTCTTTCCCAGCAAGTCACAATTTTATGTATAGCAAAACTGTCAAGCGGCTGTCCAAGTTACAAGAGTATCAACAGTATTATCCAAGCCTGACCTGCGTCATGGAAGGAAAGGACATGGAAGGTACAACTCTGCAATGAGCAACAAGACTTCCCTTGCTATTAATCAAATTCCTAGTCTGATGGTTTATTATCGTCAGCACTAAAACTCTCAACTGAGGCCTGGTTTTTCCTACTGCACTCTATCTACTTGGTGTCTTAAGTAGACACCTCAGGCCAGGCGCGGTGGCTCATGCCTGTAATCCCAGCACTTTGGGAGGGTGAGGCGGGTGGATCACCTGAGGTCGGAAGTTCGAGACTAGCCTGACCAACATGGAGAAACCCTGTCTCTACTAAAAATACAAAAAAATTAGCTGGGCATGGCGGTGCATGCCTGTAATTCCAGATACTCGGGAGGCTGAGGCAGGACAATCTCTTGAACCCAGGAGGTGGAGGTTGTGGTGAGCTGAGATCATGCCATTGCACTCCAGCCTGGGCAGCAAGAGTGAAACTCTGTCTCAAAAAAAAAAAGAGGCCAGGCGCAGTGGCTCATGCCTGTAATCCTAGTACTTTGGGAGGCTGAGGCAGGCGGATCACGAGGTCAGGAGATTGAGACCATCCTGGCTAACACGATGAAACCCTGTCTGTACTAAAAATACAAAAAATTGGCCGGGCGTGGTGGCTCAAGCCTGTAATCCCAGCACTTTGGGAGGCCGAGACGGGCGGATCACGAGGTCAGGAGATCGAGACTAACCTGGCTAACACGGTGAAACCCCGTCTCTACTAAAAAAATACAAAAAAAATTAGCCGGACGAGGTGGCGGGCGCCTGTAGTCCCAGCTACTTGGGAGGCTGAGGCAGGAGAATGGCATGAACCCGGGAGGCGGAGCTTGCAGTGAGCTGAGATCCGGCCACTGCATTCCAGCCTGGGCGACAGAGCAAGACTCCGTCTCAAAAAAAAAAAAAAAAAAAAAAAAAAAAATACAAAAAATTAGCTGGGCATGGTTGCAGGCGTCTGTAGTCCCAGGTACTCGGGAGGCTGAGGCAGGAGAATGGCCTGAACCCGGGAGGTGGAGGTGAGCCGAGATTGTCTTATTGCACTCCAGCCTGGGCAACAAGAGTGAAACTCCATCTCAAAAAAAAATTACCCAGCTATGTTGACACCTGCCTGTAGCCCTAGCTACTTTGAAGGCTGAAGTGGGAGCATCAGTTGAGCTCAGGAGGTTGAGGCTGCAGTAATAAGCGATTACACTGCTGCACTCCAGCCTGGGTGACAAAGTGAGACCCAGTCTAAAAAAAGATAACAATAAATAAAAAATAAAATTATCAGCTTTATTGATGGTAAAATCGAATCATGAAATATGGCTTAGAGTGAGGCCAAAATGTTGCTCCCTAGTCCAGGCCTACTCACCTCCTGAGGGATAATTGGTTAGCTGTGTCCAGAATCAGGGACTGCTACAGCCTCGTGTGCAGAGCCAGAGAGATACAAGTTCTACATCAGAAATGTCTCAATGGCCTTAATCCTTTCCAGGAAGAAAACATGGACCCAAAGGACATCAAACTGTTATTTCAAGAATGAAATCATTCTCTAGTTACAGGGAAAAACTGTGCGGGGTAAAAAGATGACAAGAGCTTGTTCCTCAAAACTACCATAGGAGGCCAGGCTTAGCGGCTCATGCCTATAATTTCAGCACTTCAGGGCAGCTGAGGCCAGGGGATCACTTGACCCCAGGAGTTCTGGACCAGCCTGGGCAACAAAGCAAGACACTGTCTCTACAAATAATACAAAAAAAATTAGCTGGATTAATACGAAAAAGATTAGGTGGCGCACCCCTGTGGTCCCAGCTACTTGGGAGGCTGAGGTGGGAGGATCGCTTGAACCCAGGTCAAGGCTGCAGTGAGCCATGATTATGCACTCCAACCTAGATGACAAAGCACGATCCGGTCTCTAAAAAAAATTTTTAAATATTTATTTTGGTATAATGTATGCCAAAATATAAAGAAAAACATTTTGACATGCTCTACATTGTTTGTCAGAGGGAATTTGTATAATCTGTTTTGTGCTGACAGTGGAAAAACTGGTGCTTCGAAGGAGAGACGGATCTTTTTCAGCACTTACCGCTCTTAAGTGTTTTGCATGTATTATGTCACCTCAGCCTCTCAATATTCTGAGTAAGAAACATTCCCATTTACAAATGAAAAGAAAAATATTTAAGGCATAGAGTGGTTACATAATTTTCCCAAAATTACAGCACAGAAAATGAGGTTGCAACCCAGATCTGTCTTATTCTAGACTCATTCTTTAAAATGAGAAGCTAAACTCTAAATGATATTTTTAGCTACAATTATTAGTGGCAAATATAACATTGTCAAAGTTATTTTTGCTAAAGATGTAGACATGGTTCATATTGACCACCAATAAATGATGAGAACCTTAAGTTAAAGTATTTGTCTTAGTCGGGCGCGGTGGCTCACGCTTGTAATCCCAGCACTTTGGGTGGCCGAGGTGGGCGGATCACGAGGTCAGGAGATTGAGACCATCCTGGCTGACACGGTGAAACCCCGTCTCTACTAAAAAATGCAAAAAAATTAGCCGGGCGTGGTGGCGGGCGCCTGTAGTCCCAGCAACTCGGGTGGCTGTGGCTGAACCCGGGAGGCGGAACTTGCAGTGAGCGGAGAGCGGGCCACTGCACTCCAGCCTGGGCGACAGAGCGAGACACCGTCTCAAAAAAAAAACAACAAAAACCTGTAGCCAAGGCTGGAGTGCAGTGGCGCGCTCTCCGCTCACTGCAAGCTCCGCCCCCCCGGGTTAACGCCATTCCCCTGCCTCAGCTTCCCAAGTTGCTGGGACTACAGGCGCCTGCCACCACACCCGGCTAATTTTTTGCATTTTTAGTAGAGACGGGGTTTCACCATGTTAGCCACGATGGTCTCTATCTCCTTACCTCGTGATCTGCCCGCGTTGGCCTCCCAAAGTGCTGGGATTACAGGTGTGAGCCACTGCGCCCGGCAAGTATTTATCATTAAAATAATTTTTGTGGGTTTAAAGCAGAACCTGGAAAACTAAGGCATGGGCCAAACTCAAACAGCTGCCTACTTTTGTAAATGACATTTTATTGCCATATTCTTTTTTTTTGTTTGTTTTTGGTAACATATTGCCAGTGGTTGCTTTCATACTGCAGTAGCAGAGTTGAGTAGTTGCAACAGAGACCTTATGGCCCCCAGATCCTAAGATATTTACTATCTGGCCCTTTGCAGGAAGTTTGCTAGTCCCAATATAGAGTGAAATGGTCTAGAGATTAGTAAATACAGCAGTAAATGAGTTCAGCTTTGGAAAATCCATGGAGATCCATAGATGAAAACTAATTAAACCTTAGCGAGCTAAGCTTGTAACTTTATGTGAGGAGAATTCTCTGTTAATATTTTTTCTTCTTCTATACTCCTTTGGGAAGATTGGAGCTGCTGCCCAACCCCTTGGACATCATTTCAGTCTAGTTGCTACTTTATTTCTACCGTGATGCAGTCTTGGACTAAGAGTCAAAATAACTGTTCTGTGATGGGGGCTGGTCTGGTGGTGATCAACACCAAGGAAGAGCAGGTATGTTCTAACAGGCAGCTAATCTGTTTCCTTTCTTAACTGATAGTCTTTTTTTTTTTTTGATACCGAGTCTTGCTCTGTTGCCCAGGCTGGAGTGCAGCACGATTGCGGCTCTCTACAACTTCCATCTCCCGGGTTCAACCAACTCTCCTGCCTCAGCCTCCCGAGTAACTGGGACTACAGGCACCTGCCACCACGCCCGGCTAATTTTTTGTATTTTTAGTAGAGATGGGGTTTCACCGTGTTAGCCAGGGTGGTCTCGATCTCCTGACCTCATGATCCGCCCGCCTCGGCCTCCCAAAGTGCTGGGATTACAGGCTTGAGCCACAGCGCCCGGCCCTCCCACTTCACTAATCTTTTTCAACCATGTCTAATCCTGCTATTAAAACCATATATTAACATCTAAATTCAGTTATTGTATTTTTCAAATCTAGAATTTATCTTGCTTCTCTTTCAAATATGCTATCAAACTTTATAATGTTCAACGCTTAAGCTTATTTTGTTGTTGTTGCTGGATTTTTTTTTTGTTTTTTGTTTTTTTTTTGAGATGGACTCTTGCTCTGTCACCAGGCTGGAGTGCAGTGGCTCAATCTCGGCTCACTGCAACCTCCACCTCCAGGGTTCAAGCGATTCTCCTGCCTCAGCCTCCCGAGTAGCTGGGATTACAGGCAACCACCACCATGCCCAGCTAATTTTTGTATTTTTAGTAGAGACGGGGTTTCACCATATTGGCCAAGCTGTTCTCGAACTCCTGACCTCGTGATCCACCCGCCTTGGCCTCCCAAAGTGCTGGGATTACAGACGTGAGCCATGGTGCCCGGCCAGTTTTTGTTTTTTTTTTTCCTTTGAGACAGAGTCTCGTTCTATCGCACAGGCTGGAGTGCAGTGGCGAGATCTCTGCTCACTGCAATCTCCGCTTCCTGGGTTCAAGCGATTCTCCTGTCTCAGCCTCCCGAATTGCTGGGATTACAGGTGCCCGCAACCACGCCCAGCTAATTTTTGTATTTTTAGTAGAGATGAGATTTTGCCATGTTGGCCAGGCTGTTCTCGAACTCCTCACCTCAGGTGATCCACCTGCCTTGGCCTCCCAAAGTGCTGGGATTACAGGCATGAGCCACTGTGCCCAGATATTCTTCTTTTATTTTTTTGAGACAAAGTCTCTCTCTGTCACCCCAGGGTGGAGTGCAGTGGCGCAGTCTCGACTCACTGCCACCTCTGTCTTCTGGGTTCAAGTGATTCTTTGACTCAGCCTCCTGAGCTGCTGGGATTACAGGTGCATGCCACCACTCCTGGCTAATTTTTGTATTTTTAGTAAAGATGGGGTTACACCATGTTGTCCAGGCTAGTCTCGAACTCCTGGCCTGAAGTGATCCACCTGCCTTGGTCTCCCAAAGTGCTGGGATTATAGGCCCGAGACATCACGTCTGGCCTATAGTATGTTTCAAATTATCCTTGTGTGGTGGATGTTGTACTTGAAAAATTATTTATAAAAATAATTGGAGGCCAGGCACGGTGGCTCATGCTTGTAATTCTAGCACTTTGGGAGGCTGAGGTGGGTGGATCACCTGAGGTCAGGAGTTCAAGACCAGCCTGGCCAACATGGTGAAACCCCCTCTCTACTAAAAATACAAAAATTAGCTGGGCATGGTGACGCATGCCTGTAATCCCAGCTACTCAGGAGGCTGAGGCAGGAGAATCGCTTGAACCCAGGAGGCGGAGGTTGCAGTGAGCCGAGATCATGCCACTTCACTCCAGCCTGGGTGAAAAAGCAAAACTCTGTCTCAAAAACAAAACAGAAGAAAAAAAATGGAAGCCTAAGATATTGTTCGCTTCCAAAGAGTATTTTCATTTGCTTTTGCCACATGCCTTGGCACAAGTCCTACAGTACATTATGGCAATTTCAGGGCCTGAAATTTCTACAATATCCAAATGATTCAAAGCCAGGTCATAATCTATATGAGGTCTGATTTACTGCCTATTTACCCTTACCTCTTTCTTGGCTCTGGACTAATTTTTGCCTAACTCTACAAAGTTTTCTTTTTTTTTTTTTTTTTTTTTTTTGAGACGGAGTCTCGCTGTGTCGCCCAGGCTGGAGTGCAGTGGCCGGATCTCAGCTCACTGCAAGCTCTGCCTCCCGGGTTTTTACGCCATTCTCCTGCCTCAGCCTCCCGAGTAGCCGGGACTACAGGCACCCGCCACCTCGCCCGGCTAGTTTTTTGTATTTTTTTTTTAGTAGAGACGGGGTTTCACCGTGTTAGCCAGGATGGTCTTGAACTCCTGACCTCGTGATCCGCCCGTCTCGGCCTCCCAAAGTGCTGGGATTACAGGCTTGAGCCACCGCGCCCGGCCAAAGTTTTCAAAAGTGCTGTTCATCCTGTCTCCCCAGCCATGTTGTAAACTTTTATTTGTTTTGACTTCCTATGCTACACTTAGCACAGAGTCTGAGCAGACAATAGACTGCTTAAATGTTCAGTGAAAGAATGAATAGATAAATTGATATGGTGGAGAGGGAAGGAAGTACACAAACCACTAACAATGTCTCATATACGTTCATGTACATTCAAAATAATCTGAAAACCTATGTCAAAATATATTTTCTTATTTGTACAACATTATTTGAGGCCTGGCGAGGTGGCTCATGTCTGTAGTCCCACATACTCAGGTGATTGAGGCAGGAGAATTGCTTGAATCTGGAAGGCAGAGGTTGTAGTGAGCCGAGATCATGCCAATGCACTCCAGCCTGGGTGAGAGAGCAAGACTCCATCTCAAAAAGAAACAAGCAAAACAAAACAAAATATATGACGGCTGGGTGTGGTGGCTCACGCCTGTAATCTCAGCATGTTGGGAGGCCAAGGCGGGCAGATCACTTGAGGTCAGGAGTTCAAGACCAGCTTGGTCAACATGGTGAAACTCCATCTCTACTAAAAATACAAAAATTAGCCAGGTGTGGTGGCACGCACCTGTAGTCCCAGTTACTCGGGAGGCTGAGGCATGAGAATCACTTGAACCCAGAAAGCAAAGGTTGCACTGAGCTGAGCTCACACTATTGCACTTCAGCCTTGGCAACAGACCAAGACTCCATCTTAAAAAAAAAAAAAAAAAAAATTGGCTTTCTAAAATTTCATTACAGACCTCTATCTTTCTTGTAACACAGAACATGTACTGCTTAAGAATACTGGCTCTAGGCCGGGCGCGGTGGCTCAAGCCTGTAATCCCAGCACTTTGGGAGGCCGAGACGGGCGGATCACGAGGTCAGGAGATCGAGACCATCCTGGCTAACACAATGAAACCCCGTCTCCACTAAAAATACAAAAAAATTAGCCGGGCGTGGTGGCGGCGCCTGTAGTCCCAGCTACTCGGGAGGCTGAGGCAGGAGAATGGCGGGAACCCGGGAGGCGGAGCTTGCAGTGAGCCGAGATCGCGCCACTGCACTCCAGCCTGGGCGACAGAGCGAGACTCTGCCTCAAAAAAAAAAAAAAAAAAAAAAAAAAAAAGAATACTGGCTCTAGAGTTAGAACTCTGTTATTTATTAGTTGTGTGACCTTTGACAACTTTATCTTTCTAAATCTCTGTTTCCTGAGACTTAGTAAAATGGAGAGAGCAACACTATCTTCCTCACAGTAGTAGCTGTAAGATTTAAATGAAGTAACTTATGCAAACTCATGGTGTAATATTTGGCATATAGTAAACAATAACTAATTTTAACTACTGCTATTATTATTATAAATATCTTAATTTTAAAGTGACCTGTGGCTGGACGTCATGGCTCACGCCTGTAATCCCAGCACTTTTTTTTTTTTTTTTTTTTTTTTTTTTGAGACAGAGTCTTGCTCTGTCGCCCAGGCTGGGGTGCAGTGGCCGGATCTCAGCTCACTGCAAGCTCCGCCTCCCGGGTTTAGACCATTCTCCTGCCTCAGCCTCCCGAGTAGCTGGGACTACAGGCGCCCGCCACCTCTCCCGGCTAGTTTTTTTTTGTATTTTTTAGTAGAGACGGGGTTTCACCGTGTTAGCCAGGATGGTCTCGATCTCCTGACCTCGTGATCCGCCCGTCTCGGCCTCCCAAAGTGCTGGGATTACAGGCTTGAGCCACCGCGCCCGGCCAATCCCAGCACTTTAAGAGGCCTAGGCAGGCAGATCACCTGAGGTCACGAGTCTGAGACAAGCCTGGCCAACATGCTGAAACCCCCTCCTCTACTAAAAATACAAAAAGTAGCCAGGCATGATGGTGCATGCTTGTTATCCCAGCTACTCAGGAGGCTGAGGCAGGAAAATCACTTGAACCCCGGAGGCGGAGGTTGCAGTGACCCGAGATTGTGCCACTGCACTCCAGCCTGGGTGACAGAGTAAGACTCTGTCAAAAAAAGAAAACAAAAAGTGACCTGAAGCATTTGGAGTGTGCATGCAAAGTTGTTTTTTATTTTTGGGCACGGGGTGGGTTTGTATTTTTTGGACACAGAGTCTCATTCTGTCGCCCATGCTGGAGTACAATGGCATGAGCTCGGCTCACTGCAGCTTCTACTTCCCAGGTTCGGGTGATTCTCATGCCTCAGTCACTTGAGTAGTTGGGATTATAGACATGCACCACTACACCTGGCTAACTTTTGTATTTTTAGTTGTGACAGGGTTTCACCATGTTGTCCGGGCTGGTCTCGAACTCCTGGCCTCAAGTGATCCACCTGCCTCGGCCTCCCAAAGTGGTGGGATTATAGATGTGAGCCACCATGCTCAGCCCAGAGTTTTTTTTTTTTTTTTCGAGACGGACTCTTGCTCTGTCGCCCAGGCTGGAGTGCAGTGGCCGGATCTCAGCTCACTGCAAGCTCCGCCTCCCGGGTTCACGCCATTCTCCTGCCTCAGCCTCCGGAGTAGCTGGGACTACAGGCATCTGCCACCACGCCCGGCTAGTTTTTTGTATTTTTTTAGTAGAGACAGGGTTTCACCGTGTTAGCCAGGATGGTCTCGATCTCGTGACCTCGTGATCCGCCCGTCTCGGCCTCCCAAAGTGCTGGGATTACAGGCTTGAGCCACCGCGCCCGGCCAGCCCAGAGTTTTTATTATTATTATTATTATTATTATTATTTTTTTTTTTTTCTTTTGAGACGGAGTCTTTCTCTGTCGCCCAGGCTGGAGTGCAGTGGTACAATCTTGGCTCTCTGCAACCCCCGCCTCCTGGATTCAAGCGATTCTCCTGCGACAGCCTCCCAAGTAGCTGGGATTATAGGCGCCCACCACCTCGTCTGGCTAATTTTTGTATTTTTAGTAGACACTGGATTTCCCCATGGTCTCAAACTCCTGACTTTAGGTAATCCACCTGCCTCGGCCTCCCAAAGTGCTGGGATTACAGGTGTGAGCCACTGCGCCTGGCCTAATTATTTTTTGGTAGAGATGAAGTCTCACTATATTTCCCAGGCTGGTCTCAACTTCTGGCCTCAGCAATCTTCCCACCTTAGCCTTCCAAAGTGCTGGGATTACAGGCATAAACCACCACAACACAAAACTTTTAAATTTTTAAACTTTAGCATCCTGAGGTTGTGCGGGCGGGGGAGGAATGTGCTGTTCAGCCCTTCTACTTCCTTTTCTGGATCAGCAAACTTTTCCCTAGAGAGAAAGGAGCCATGATTTCCAGGCACATCTTCCTTGCTTTTCATTCTCTCTGGCTTCTTGACCTGGTAATTTTTACTATTTTGTGACCTTTTGAGACATTAAAGTTTTTCATGTTTCATCCAGCTTATGTAGTTGATTTTGCCAAGAAGTTTGGTCCAAATTACTTAGTCCACCATTATTGAAAGTAAAGTAGAAGTCCCACTACATTCAGTGTTGATACCAGCATTGTTATCAATCATTTATATAACATGCAGTTATATAGAAATACTTAGAAACAATTAATTGCCTCACAGAGAAGAAATATTATGAGGACTTGCGAAAAAAAATTAAATTGCAAGAACTGACAATCAAGAACTGATATGGGGCTAGGTTCGGTGCCTCACGCCTGTAATCCCAGCACTTTGGGAGGCCGAACCTGGCGGATCACATGAGGCCAACACAAGCCTGGCCAACATGACAAAACCCTGCCTCTACTAAAAATACAAAGATCAGCCAGGTGTGGTGGTGGGCACCTGTAATCCCAGCCACTCGGGGGGCTGAGGCATGAGAATAACTTGAACCTAGGAGGTGGAGGTTGTAGTGAGCTGAGATTGCATCACTGCACTTCAATGTGGGCAACAGAATGAGACTCTGTCTCAAAAATAAAAATAAAAATACCCTTTCCTGGCTGGGTGTGGTGGATCAAGCCTGTAATCCCAGCAGTTTGGGAGGCCAAGGCAGGAGGGTGGCTTTAGCTCAGGAGTTCGAGACCAGCCTGGGCAACATGGCCGAAACCCCGTCTCTACTAAAAATACAAAACTTAGCGGGGCATGGTGGTGGATGCCTGTAATCCCAGCTACAGGAGGCCGAGGTAGGAGGATTGCTTGAATCTGAAAGGTTGAGGCTGCAGTGAGCTGAGATCACGCCACTTCACTCCAGCCTGGGTGACAGTAAGACCTTGTCTCAAAAAATAAATAAATAAATAACTAGGGGGGTGGGGTGCAGAGAGAAACCTAAAGATATACTAATTCAACTCCCTTTACAAGAAGACTATATTAGGAGCGAGGGAGAAATTTCCTCACGATACGCAGAGCCTTGAAGAATGCCGTCACTTAGCAAAGAAATAGGAAAGCAAGTGTGACATGAGGATTTATGATGGCCACGGCTAGAGCATGTTCCTGTACACGCCAAACATCATGCTCACAAGTGATGTCTTTGATCCAGCCCTGCTCAGCCAGAGGCCTCTGCTCCTGGGCAGGGGCCCTTTGTGGTGACTCCTGGGTCATCTCCTTTTCTTCTTTTCTTCCTATGGCCATAAGAACTCTGTTCAACTTGAGTCCCCGCTAAAGGCTATTGTAAGAATTAAAGAAAGAGGAAAGAAATATGAAAGGCGGCTTGCCGGTCAAGACAGGTTTATTTTAAAGAAAATAAACCTGAGAGGAGCCTCTGGCTGAGTTAGGTCAGAGGCACACTCTCTTACAGACTAAGAGTTTTGTTTTTTGTTTTTTTTTTCTGAGGCAGAGTCTCACTCTGTCGCCCAGGCTGGAGTGCAGTGACGAGATCTCCGCTCACTGCAAGCTCCGCCTCCCGGGTTCACGCCATTCTCCTGCCTCAGCCTCCCGGGGAGCTGGGACTACAGGCGCCCGCCACCGCGCAATTTTTTTTTTTTTTTTTTTTTTTTTAAGTAGAGACAGTGTTGCGCTTATCTGGGAGGGAGAGTTGTGTGTCTGTTCCCATACACCTTTCTGCAGCTGCAGGCATAGCCCCCCGGAGTCTGCTTTTAGCTTCCCTATCTTAGTGCACCTGAAGGGAAAGGAATGTGCTTATTAAGGCCCACTGTTTTATTGGGACCCATTGTATGAAGGTGAAGCTTGGCAGTTACCCAAGAGACTTTCCCCCCACCTCCCTCTGTGCCTGAGCTGTCTTATCTGTGTTTTACTGTCTGCTCTTTCTGTCTGCTTGTGGTCAGAAGGGAAGTGATTTCCTTGAAATGCATGAGGCAAGAAAGGGAGCTGGAACTTAAAATGGCGGTGTTTGTCCGAGATGAGGGTGCTCCTGCTCTATCAACTATGACTCTTCCGTTTTCTTCCCTCAGGATTTCATCACTCAGAATCTGAAAATAAATTCTGCTTATTTTCTGGGGCTGTCAGATCCAAAGGGTTGGCGACATTGGCAATGGGTTGATCAGACACCATACAATAAAAATGTCACGTGAGTATAGAACTGGGTCTATTTGACATCAAGGGTTGTGCTTTTTTTTTTTTTTTTTTTTTTTAAGACAAGACTCTCACTCCATCACCCAGGCTGGAGTGCAGTGGTGTGATTGGTTCACTGCAACCTCTGCCTCCCAGGTTCAAGTGATTCTCCTGCCTCAGCCTCCTGAGTAGCTGGGATTACAGGCACGTGGCACCATGCCCGGCTAATTTTTGTAATTTTGGCAGAGATGGATTTCACCATGTTGACCAGGCTGGTCTCGAACTCCTGACCTCAAGTGATCTGCCTGCCTTGGCCTCCCAGAGTGCTCAGATTATAGGTGTGAGCCACCATGCCCAGCCATTTATGATTTCTTTACAAATTTTAAAGCACTTTAGTACAGATTACCACTTTTGACATATCAATTATGTCAAATACGTAGGGACATTGTTCTAGTTCCCATTTTTTCAGATAGAAGAACTGAGAATCAGGGAAATTAAATTACTTGCACTAAATAACAGAGACTAAATAGCAGATCCAGGGAATTTCCCTAGTTTTTCAGACTCCAAAAGCAGTGCATAGAACCTGATTAATACTTGGGACCAGGGAAAAAAAAATCTTGGAATCATTTAACTCTGTGAGTTGGAAGTTCTATGGCAATTGGACATAGGGATGGCCAAAATGAAGGAATCCTCTGGGATATCTGCCGGGGGGTGTTCAATGTATGCCGAGTTGATTAAGATGACAGGCCACTAGGTCATGTGGGAACAGTTTTCAAGGGAAATACCAGAGACATAGGTGGAGAGGAAACTGCCTGAACATGAGGTTTTACAAAACGTGGCAGCAGAAGTGGGAAGGTGGTTTGGGTATGCGTGACTTTGACTTTCACACTGTTTAACGCTAGCTCTCTCCCAGTCTCTCACTTTTTCCAAAACACTGTTTCTTGTGTTTTGAGACGGAGTTTCACTCTTGTCACCCAGGCTGGAGTGCAATGGCACTATCTCGGCTCACCGCAACCTCTGCCTCCCGGATTCAAGCGATTCTCTTGCCTCAGCCTCCCTAGTAGCTGGGATTACAGGCACGTGCCACCACGCCTAGTTAATTTTTTTGTACTTTTAGTAGAGATGGGGTTTCTCTATATTGGTCAGGCTGGTCTCGAACTCCTGACCTCAGGTGATCCACCCGCCTCGGCCTCCCAAAGTGCTGGGATTATAGGCATGAGCCACTGTGCCCAGCCCCAAAACACTGTTTCAAAACACCACTGTCCTTTATCTGCCTTTCAGATTCTGGCACTCAGGTGAACCCAATAGCCCTGATGAGCGTTGTGCGATAATAAATTTCCGTTCAGAAGAATGGGGCTGGAATGACGTTCACTGTCATGTACCTCAGAAGTCCATTTGCAAGATGAAGAAGATCTACATATAAATGAAATATTCTCCATGGAAATGTGTTTTGTTGGCATCCACCATTGTAGAAAGCTAACTTGATTTTTTAATTTCTGTGTAAGTTTTGTACAAGGAATGACCCTAAAATTTTTTAGTAGGCTGTCACCTATGACCTTTTTTTTTTTTTTTTTAGGCGGAGTTTCACTCTTATTTGCCCAGGCTGGAGTGCAATGGCACGATCACGGCTCACCGCAACCTCCACCTCCCAGCTTCAAGCGATTCTCCTGCCTCAGCCTCCCTAGTAGCTGGGATTATAGGCATGTGCCACCACGCCCGGCCAATTTTGTATTTTTAGTGGAGACGGGGTTTCTCCATGTTGGTCAGGCTGGTCTCGAACTCCCAACCTCAGGTGATCCACCCGCCTCCGCCTCCCAAAGTGCTGGGATTACAGGCGTGAGCCACTGCGCCCGGCTACCTATTACACTTATGATATAATCCATTCACACATTCATTTACTCATTTATTCATTCATACAATTAGTGTTTAGTGAACATTTTTCTATGTGCCAGAGACTACTGGAGAATGCTTTTGCAGAAAAACAGAGGGAGCATGAGCATCTGCTCTTATTTTCTGACAGCTGAGGGATGAGGTGCCTGTTATGGGCTGAATTGTGTTGCCTCAAATTCATGTTGAAGCCGTAACCTACAGTAGTTCAGAATGGGAGTCTATTTAGAGATAGAACCTTATCAGAGGAAATTAAGTTGAAATGAGGACATTAAGAGCCTTAATTCAATCTGACTGATGTCCTGTGAGGAAATTCAGGCAGGTAATGTGGCTCATGCCTGTAATCCCAGCACTTTGGGAGGCTGAGGTTGGGTGGATCACGAGGTCAGGAGTTCAAGACCAGCCTGGCCAACATGGTGGAACTCCATCTCTACTAAAAAATACAAAAATTAGCCAAGCATGGTAGCAGGCGCCTGTAATCCCAGCTACTTGGGAGGCTGAGGCAGGAGAATCGCTTGAACCTGGGAGGTGGAGGTTGCAGTGAGCGGAGATCACGCCATTGCACTCCAGCCTGGGCAACAAAAGCAAAACTCCATCTCAAAAAGGAAAAAAAAAAAAATTAGCCAGGTGTGGTGGCACGTGCTTATAGTCCCAGCTACTTGGGAGGCTGAGGTGGGAGGATCGCTTGAACCTAGGAGTTTGAGGTTGCAGTGAGCTATGATCATGCCACTGTGCTCCAGCCTGGGTAACAGAATAAGACCTTGTCTCAAAAAAAAAATTAAAGAAATAAGTAAAAGAAGAGGATATTTGAACACACCCAAAGACACCAGGAGTGTACGTACACAGTAGGCCGACCATGTGAAGACACAGCAAGAGTGTGGCCATCTGCAAGCCAAGGAGAGAGTCCTCAGAGGATACCAACCCTGCCGGCACCTCGATATTGGACTTCCAGCCTCCACAATTGAGAGGAAATAAGTATTTGCTGTTTAAGTAACCCAGTCTGTGCTATTTTATTACAGCCCTAGCAAGCCAATCATGCAGTACTGATGTCAGTATTTGATGTACTTTCTGTGTTTGGTCAAAAGGTTTTCCATTTGGCTCTGATTTATTAATTTTAGCTGAAAGCAGACTATGAAGCAAGGTACACAAGAAAACAAGATATCCAAAGAAGGCAGTGTTCTTGCTTAGGTCTGGTAAATTACTTGGGCTTCTTAATATTTGTTCAGTCCTGGGCTGGCATCTCATCTCAAGGTGCACAGAGAGGGGGATTAGAGATGATTATTCTCCTGGTTAGCTGGCATACAGAACTATCTTCCTTGTCCTCAGATATCCCAATAAGTTTTTCTTTGGTTCAGAGTTTCTGTGTATGGATTGCCACCTCAAATGTTCCCTAATTTGTTCTTATTCTTCTTTTTACTAAGGTTCCTACAGGTCACTTTATTTCTAGTGTAGTAAAAATACATCATATTTACATCAGAGTAATTCACTGCTCTGGTATAGTGATTAGAATGACAATAAAGCTGGTTCCATCCATGACTACTTTTGTAGATTTTCCCAGTGTGACTTCCAACTTCCTGAGATTGTGCCCTGATCATCCTGATGCAACAGAATCATTTCATTTTTTCAGCCACTGATTTCTTCACTCTTTAGGATGGGCTATTTTGAAAGATCTGACCTTGGCCGGGTACGGTGGCTCACGCTTGTAATCCCAGCATTTTGGGAGGCTGAGGCAGGCAGACCACTTGAGGTCAGGAGTTCAGAACCAGCCTGGCCAACACAGTGAAACCCCCTCTCTACTAAAAATACAAAAAAATTAGCCAGGCATGGTGACGGGCACCTGTAATCCCAGCTACTCAGGAGGCTGAAGCGGGAGAATCACTTGAACCTGGAAGGCAGAGGTTGCAGTGAGCCGAGATCACGCCACTGCTCTCCAGTCCAGGCAACAGAGCGAAACTCCATCTCAAAAAAAAAAAAACAAAAACAAAACCAGAAAGATCTGACCTCACCTTAACCACTGTATGTAGAATTTATCAGTTTAACTCTTAGAGATCAACTTAACCAGTTCCTCTCATTTGCCCATCCATATGAGTAGTTTTAAGCCTTGCTTGCGGAATATAATCACAATCCTAGAGAGCTTTTTAAAAAATGCCTCACCCCAGACATCCCCATGTTTAAGTTTCTGGAATTGAGAACCTCTGATCTACATTTGCTGTTGTGCAATATCATTTCATACACAAACTCAGCACTATGAGGTGGACACCTCCCGAGCAGATGGGAAAATTACATTTGATAGCCACATTAGTTTCCTGTTCCTGCTGTAACAAATCAACGCAAAATGGCTTAGAACAACACAAATTATGTTTTTTCTTTGAGACAGGAACTCACTCTGTCACCCAGGCTGGAGTGTAGTGGCACGATCTTGGCTCACTGCAACCTCAGCCTCCCAAGTAGCTGGGACTGGCATGCACTAACATGCCCAGCTAACTTTTTTGTATTTTTTGCAGAGATGGGGTTTCGCCATGTTGCCCAAGCTGGTCTTGAACTCCTGGGCTCAAGCCATCTACCTGCCTCCGCCCCCCAAAGTGCTGGGATTACAGTGTGAGCCACTGTGCCTGGCCACAAGTTAATTTGTTTATAGTTCTGGAGGTCAGAAGTCCAAAATGAGACCCAGTGCTCTGAAGTCAGGGAGGCAGCAGGGCTAGTTCCTTCTGCAGTGAGAGAAAAATCTGCTTGCTTGATTTTTCCAGCTTCTAGTGGCCACCTATATTCCTTGGCTTGTGGTCACTTCCTCTGCCTTCAAAGAGCGCCTCTCCAATCTCTGCCTCTGTCATCACACTGTCTTCTCTAACTCTGACTTCTCCTGTGTCCCTCTCATAAGGATCATAAGATTACCCTGAGCGTAATCACACTGGGCCCTCTTGAACAATCCGTACAATCTCCTGGACTCAAGATCTTTAAAATAATCACATTTGCAAAGTCCTTTTTGCCATATAAGGTAACATTTGCAGCCTCTGGGGATTACAGTGTGGGCATGTCTGAGGGCCATTATTCAGCATATTACAGTAACTTTTTTTTTTTTTGAGACAGAGTCTTGCTCTGTCACACAGGCTGGAATACAGTGGCGCCATCTCAGCTCACTGCAACCTCTGCCTCCCGGGTTCAAGCAGTTCTCGTGCCTCAGCCTCCCGAGTAGCTGGGACTACAGGCACATGCCACCACGCCCAACTAATTTTTGTATTTTTAGTAGAGACGGTGTTTCACCATGTTAGCCAGTCTGTTCTCGAACTCCTGGCTTCAAGTGATCCACCCTCCTTGGCCTTCCAAAGTGCCAGGATTACAGGCATGAGTCACTATGCCCAGCCCTTACAGTAACTTTTGACAGAAAGTATATGAGTAGAAAGATTAATCAGAATTTCATTGAATTCTATTTCATTTACTTCAAGATACCTAACTTATAATGTAATATTGAAGCATGAAACCCAAAGTTATATACATAAAGCTTGTTTGATTGAGGAACCTCAACTAAGATATAAATGTGAAATGGTTTTGTTGATTTCAATACCTGCTACCGTCGAATTCTGTGAAACCCTTTTTTTCCAGGGTAGCAAGGTCTTCATTAATGAAATATTAGTCCAGTTCCACGATATTTGTGTCATTTTCAGTTACTGAAACATTTTTGACCAGGCATGGTGGCTCATGTCTGAAATCCCAGGACTTTGGGAGGCCAAGGCAGGAGGATCGCTTGAGCCTAGGAGTTTCATACCAGCCTGGGCAGCATAGCAAGACCCCCATCTCTACACAAAATTTAAAAATTAGCTATGTGGGCCGGGCGCGGTGGCTCAAGCCTGTAATCCCAGCACTTTGGGAGGCCGAGACGGGCAGATCACGAGGTGAGGAGATCGAGACCATCCTGGCTAACATGGTGAAACCCCGTCTCTACTGAAAAAAATACAAAAAACTAGCCAGGCGAGGTGGCGGGTGCCTGTAGTCCCAGCTACTTGGGAGCCTGAGGCAGGAGAATGGCATAAACCCGGGAGGCGGAGCTTGCAGTGAGCTGAGATCTGAGATCCAGCCACTGCACTCCAGCCTGGGCGATGGAGCGAGACTCCGTCTCAAAAAAAAAAAAAAAAATTAGCTATGTGTTGTGGTGTGTGCTTTTGGTTCTACCTACGCAGGAGGCTGAAGTGGGAGGATCAGTTGAGCCTGGGAGGTTGAGGCTGCAGTGAGATATGACCATGTCACTGCACTCCAGCCTGTGCAATAGAGCAAGACCTTGCCTCAAAAAAATAAAAAATGTTTAAAAAACCACTTTCTGTCTGGGCGCGGTGGCTCATGCCTGTAATCCCAACACTTTGGGAGGTCGAGGCGGGCGGATCACGAGGTCAGGAGATTAAGACCATCCTGGCTAACACAGTGAAACCCCGTCTCTACTAAAAATACAAAAAATTAGCCAGGTATGGTGGCGGGTGCCTGTAGTCCCAGCTACGCAGGACGCTGAGGCAGGAGAATGGTGTGAACCCAGGAGGTGGATCTTGCAGTGAGCCGAGATGGCACCACTGCACTCCAGCCTGGGCGACAGAGCGAGACTCTGCCTCAAGAACAAACAAACGAACAAACAAAAAAAAACCACTTTCTTGGGGTTGGATATGATGAATAAAAAGAAAAAAATTTTTTTTAAACCTTTCAGTTATTAAGTTTAGAATTTAGAAATATAATACTCTATAATGAAAAAGTAGTTTATAATAAAATATATACTCAACATGTAAATGTTCACTTTAAACGTTTGATTCAAAGCTCTCCCATTCCAGTGATAGTCAGGGGTGGTTTTCAATTCTGACAGATTCAGGTTTCAACACTGACCAGCCATCAGTTTCCTCTCTGTGGCAATAGCCTAAAACTTGGCTGTTTCATGGGGTTGCATTTATTGGATTTTAGAGAGCTCTATGGGTGTTAGTCTCTGCCCAGTCCTTTGTCATAAAGATAGAGCTGAGGCTCAAACTTCTACTCCATCCCCACAACCTCTTGCTTTTGGGGAATTCTCATCCAGCAGTCCCTTACTGGGGGAAGGTCATGGGTGGTTACTTACAAGATGGTTTGGGTTCCAGCCACTTTCTGAACTGTACTTGCTTCACCAAATGGTGGGAATGCCAGCTGTCTGCAGACCTCTAGCATCACCCTGCACTCCTTTCTCACCAACCAGCAGCATAAGGCCTGGCTATCAGGCTCTCTGCTGGTTCAATGGCTCAGCAATTAGATTAGATGTAATCACCAGCTCCAGTTTTACTTGCAGGCAAAGATACTTTGGTCATATCTGATCCTGCAAGGATAAGGGAGTATATATAAAATGCCCTGCTCTTTTCCCAAAAAAAGATAAAGCAGATGGGAATCAGTAACATAAGGTTGGCATTCTCCCAAATGTACTCTCTTTTCCTATCGCTAGCCTACTTTTGATAGTGGAAGATGTTCTTGTGTCTGATCTTATAAAACCGTGTCCCTTAGCAAACCCTGCACGAAGGAAACTGAGCTGGAGTTACTCTGAAACTAAAATGTGACTGTGGGTCCTGGTAACCAGGAAATGGGAAAGATCTCATCTACCACCTCTCATTTAGCAAGTTACACACACCATTTCTTCCTGTTATTTATTACTAGATTCTCACAATTTTTTTTTTTTTTGAGATGGAGTTTCACTCTTATTATCCAGGCTGGAATGCAATGGCGTGATCTCGCCTCACTGCAACCTCCGTCTCCCGGGTTCAAGTGATTCTCCTGCCTCCCACTCTAGACCATGTTAGATTTAGTTCTTCAGTGGGGTAACTTCTGATGACCAAACTTGGCAGTGTGGTCCTGCACTCCAGCCTGGGCAACAAAGTGAGACCCCATCTCAAAAAAACAAAAAACAAAAACCACAAAGAAATCACTGGATAGCATCTTCTTGGGTTATTACATATCATGCAGATATCCTTTCCAATTCTCCCTGTGATATTATGAAATATGTTTGTTCTTAGTGACCATTTCCTGTCATATAGCTCCTAAAATCTTCGAAATCTCTGGAGTAATAACTTTTGTATGCTAATGCTGGCTGGGGGCTCCAAGATAGCCTCAGGATGTGGGCTGGTTGCCAGGAGAAACCACCAAGTGACTGGAGGGTTGAAAGTTTCACTCCCATTCCAGGACCTCGGGGGAAGGGACAGGGGCTGAAAGTTGAGTTGATAAACCAATGGCCAGTGATGTAATGAATCATGCCAACCTAATGAAGCTTCCTTAAAAACACAAAAGGAGTGAGTTCTGAGGGCTTCTGGATAGCTGCACACATGGAGGCTCCTTAAGGGTGGTTCACCCTGCTTGTCTTTTCTCCTGTACCTCGCCCTATGCACCTCTTCCATCTGGCTGTTCATCTGTATCCTTTGTAATATCCTTCACAATAAGTAAGGTGTGTCCCTGAGTTCCGAGTCACTAGAGCAAATTAATCAAACTCAAGCAAGGGGTCAAGGGAACCCTGATTTGTAGCTGGTCAGTCAAAAGCACAGGTAAGACACCCTGAAGCTTGTGATTGGCATTAGAAGTGCAGGCAGTCTTGTGGGACTGAGCCTTCAACCCGTAAGATCTGGAGTTATTTCCAGGTAGATAGCTGAAATTGAATTAGACACCCAGCTGATATGTAAGGGCAGAATTGCTTGCTTGGAGGCCAGGCACTGTGGCTTACACCTGTAATCCCAGCACTTTGGGAGGCCAAGGAGGGCAGATCATCTGAAGTCAGGAGTTTGAGACCAGCCTGGCCAATATGGTGAAACCCTGCCTCTATTAAAAATACACAAGTTAGCCAGGAGTGGTGGCAGGCACTTGTACTCCCAGCTACTCAGGAGGCTGAGGCAAAAGAATCGCTTGAACCCAGGAGGTGGAGGTTGCAGTGAGCCAAGATAGTGCCATTGCACTCCAGCCTGGGCAAGAAGAGCGAAACTGTCTCAGAAAACAAAACAAAAAATAATTGCTTGCTTGGTGTGAGGACCCCTGCATATTCCTATCAACAACATAGGAAGCTCTACTTCTGTTCTATCTCCTTCCGATTTTCCCATCTCTAATGGGAAGCTGATATTTGCAAATATCTGTGCCTGTGTTTCCAATCTCACCCATATGTACAATGACGTTTCTTCCCAGTGGGAAGATATCACAAAATATTAGAATGCCAGATATTTACATTCTAGGAATGTAATGATAAAACTATTGATCGTCTAATTGTTAGCAAGAATAAGAAAATCAAGAACAATTTTTAAAAGGTACTCAAATGTCAACTTTATTGTTTCTATATAAACACCTTTTTGTACTGAAAACTATAAAAATAACAAAGTGTGCTGTGATTGCAATCCAAATTTTTGAAAGCCAGAAAATCTAGTTATTATGCTATAGCCAAACTACCTAATGCTTTCTTTATCCACAAGTAACTTTGCTTCAATTTCTTGATGTTGGGTTTCATCTCACTGACTTTGGGCTTCTAAGACACATGGGAATACTTATGTCGTCTTTGGGTCAAATCAAACAGTAGAGCTAAAGTTATTCAAATACATTCAAATGACACAGATCCCTTACAAATTACTAGTATCATAGTAGGAAGAAAAAGATACAAGAAGAAACATACATCCTAGAACTCATTAATATTGTTGGTATATAGTCTATACTAGCATAGAGTAGCTTTCACAACCTGCTACATAAAATTACCAGCAAGAAGAAAAAGGTGCAAGAGTAAGTTTTATGGCTGAAGTGGCTTGGTGTCGTAATTCCCTATTCTAGCATTCTCAGAAGGATCCCATCCATTGGACACGCAGAAACTGCAGGGACATTTGAATGGTCTTGATTCCTTAAAAAATGATGAAATGGATTAATCAGAATATTGTACCTCAGAGAAATGTAATAAACCCTCAACTAGAATGTTGTTTATTTGGGTAAGCGTTGGAATGGGGAACTCACACAAAAAGGGCATAGAAGCCAAAAGCAAAACATTTTAGGAGACAAAAAAGAGGGAGGGTGGAAATATGGGTATCACAGAATGGCAGCTTGCGGGTCATTTTGTAATGGTAACAAGTGCAGATGGTCAATAAAACATTCTGGTCTCCGTTCTCTGAATGCCTTAAATGTAACTCATTCTGCTGCTAGACACGCTGCTGAAGCATTTGTCCTCTCACTATACCGTGCTACCGCGAAGATATCTGTGACAGCACGTGAAAGTATAAACCTAACACCAAGAGTGACCCCTAGTGTAAACTATGAACTCTGGATGATAATCCTGTCAGGGTAAATTCATCGGCTGCCAAGTGTGCAGTTCTGGTGTGCGACGTTGACAGTAGAGGCGGCATGTGTGGGGGAAGGGCATATATTGGAACTCTACACTTTGCTCAATTTTGCTATCAACGTAAAACTGCTCTGAAAAATAAAGAATATATTTAAAGAATATATTTTTTAAAACTACAAACATGAATTGACTTATCCAGGGCTCCTGGGGATTCAGAAAGTCCAAGCAAATTCCCTATTCCGACAAAAGGAAACAAACCAGATAGATACCCATCCACATATAGAGCCAAAAAGAAAAAGAAAAAAAATTATACTTACCCTAACTCCCTTAAGCCCAGTGTTTGTTAGTATTCTTTGATGCTACATGGGAAGAAAAAAATATGTTTATTGAAACCTCTATCAAGAAAAAGATTACTAATATTACACATCAATATAAGGGAGATAAACTAGGGAATTTGTTATTGAGACAGGGTCTTTCTCTGTTGCCCAGGCTGGATTGCAGTGGAGTAATCATGGCTCACTGCAGCCTCAACCTCCCAGACTCAAGTGATCCAGCTGTGTCAGCCCTCAGCCACCCGCCCCACAGCAGCTGGGACTTACAGGCACGTACCACTACACCCAGCTAATTAATTTTTTGTAGAGATGGTTGATTTTATTAATTTTTTATATTGCCTTGGCTGGTCTGGAACTCCTGAGCTCAAGTGATACTCCCATCTCAGCCTTCCAAGGTGCCTGGATTACAGCCGTGAACTGGGGAGTCTTTTTTTTTGAGACCGAGTTTCGCTCTTGTTGCCCAGGCTGGAGGACAATGGCACAATCTCGGCTCACTGCAACCTCTGCCCTCCAGGGTTCAAGTGATTCTCCTGTCTCAGCCTCCCGAGTAGCTGAGATTACAGGTGCCCACCACCAGGCCCGGCTAACTTTTTATATTTTTAGTAGAGACAGGGTTTCACCATGTTGGCCAGGCTGGTCTGAGCTCCTGCCCTCAGGTGACCCACCTGCCTCAGCCTCCCAAAGTGCTGGGATCACAGGCCTCAGCCACTGCACTGGGCCTAGAGCTAGGGAGTCTTAATTAGGTCTTAATTTATGAGTGTCACTTCCTGGAATCGGGCAGCCCCCACCCACATCATATCAACATACCGTACGAACTCTGCCGAGTAACATGTATCTGAATCTTGCCATTCTTTCTCTCTGCACAGACAGCAATGTTCTTACTCCTCTCCTCCTGTAAATCAAGTCATCTCTGATTTCCCTGAGGACTGGTGCTCTTGCAGCAATTCCATCTATCACTCGATGGAGTGAATCTTCTGACAGAGGGGAAGGGGATTCGTTACTGGCATTGATAGTCAAGTTACTAAGGTTCTTTATCAACATCTCGGAACAGATCTCAGAGGCCCCTGAAAGAGAAGGTTAAAAACCATTATATTAAGGGGATCTTCAACATTCACACTTCAACTAGGTCTGCCCTTAAGCAGAGGAACAGACAGCTGTGTGGGAAATTTCTCAGAGTGGAAGGTTACAGTAAACAATGCACAACCTCTAGTCTTTTCTCAAAAAGAAAGTTAGCCTGGTGCGGTGGCTCACACCTGTAATCCCAGCACTTTGGGAGGCCGAAGCGGGCAGATCACCTGAGACCAGCCTGACCAACATGGAGAAACCTCATCTCTCCTAAAAATACAAAATTAGCCAGGCGTGGTGGTGCATGCCTGTAATCCCAGCTACTGGGGAGGCTGAGGCAGGAGAATCGCTTGAACCCAGAAGGTGGAGGTTGCAGTTGACCCGATTGTGCGCCATTGCACTCCAGCCTCGGCAACAAGAGCAAAACTCCCTCTCAATAAAAAGGCAAGAAGACGTGGCCGGGCTTAGTGGCTCAAGCCTGTAATCCCAGCACTCTGGGAGACCGAGACGGGCGGGTCATGAAGTCAGGAGATCGAGACCATCTTGGCTAACCCGGTGAAACCCCATCTCTACTAAAAAATACAAAAAACTGGCCGGGCGAGGTGGCGGGCGCCTGTGGTCCCTGCTACTTGGGAGGCCGAGGCAGGAGAATGGCGTAAACCCGGGAGGTGGAGCTTGCAGTGAGCGGAGATCCGGCCACTGCACTCCAGCCTGGGCGACAGAGCAAGACGCCATCTCAAAAAAAAAAAAAAAAAAAAAAAAGGCGAGAAGTCAAGGCAGGAAGAAATCACTTGTACAGAGGCACATGGTAACACGGTTGACCCTTGAACAACACAGGTTTAAACTCTGGGTCCCACTTACACGAGAATTTTTTCCAACCAATCACAAAATTCGAAATCCCCACACACATTGTTAACTTTTCTGAAGGTTTCTCAGGGCCCACTGTGGCACTTGATTACTCACAGATTTTGGGGATGCCCTGGAACCAATTCCCAGAGTATAACCGAGGGATGACTGCAATCCCTTGGTCTCTAGACTGTTATTTTTTGAAACAGGGTCTCACTCTGTCACCCAGGCTGGAGTGCAGTGGCACGATCATGGCTCAGTGCAGCCTCCAACTCCCAGGCTCAAGCGATCCTCCCACCTCAGCGTCCAGAGTAGCTGGGACTACAAGCGTGTGCCACACCCTGCCCTGAGCTACCTTTTACTGTTTACTTACACTTAAGAGATCCACTGAGTATCTCACAAGCATTACCTATTGTGCATTCTGTGGAATCTTGTGAAACAGACAAGAAAAACCCATATACTATTTTCTTCCAGAATCCTCATCCTTAAGCAAAACTGGGCAGTCGAGGCGGCTGTTACCCTATCCAGTTAGCCCTAATTTAGTTGCCCAGCTCCTTCACGGTATTAGATCTCCTCACTCAAACTCAATTATTTTGGGAAATCAACCACTCATTCTTCCTTTCTCATCCGAACTGCGATGCGTATCCCATACATACGCATATCTCATATAATAAGACGGTTATCGTTAACTGCCCCCTGTATATGTGTTTTGTTTTGTTTTTTGCCCTCTATATGTGAAAGTATTAAACAATATCAAAGTTTGAGATCGATTCTCAAAGTCTAGGGACCTGTGCACATAGAAACGAGGATCCTTTGTGGAACTGTCAGTTACTAAGACGCAAGGAAAGGGAGAGACTGGGGATACGTTAATTCATTTTTCTTTCCCACTCGGATATATGGACCAGCATTCTTTCTTCTGGACGCAGGGGACACAGCCAAGATCAGGCGCACAGGGCGTCAGCGCGCCAGCGGCCCAGTTCCCAGACCTCCTGGCATCGGGGAGTTTCTGCCGCCACCACCCTAGACACCCAGCCCCGCCGTCAGGGTCATAAATAAGACTTCAAACCACGTGGAAGGCTTCTGTGGCCAGGCCCGCGCTTGAGTCGTGCTGTAAGAAAGGAGTTCCTGCCGGGCGCGGTGGCTCACGCCTGTAATCCCAGCACTTTGGGAGGCCGAGACGGGCGGATCACGAGGTCAGGAGATCGAGACCATCCTGGCTAACACGGTGAAACCCCGTCTCTACTAAAAAATACAAAAAACTAGCCGGGCGAGGCGGCGGGCGCCTGTAGTCCCAGCTACTCGGGAGGCTGAGGCAGGAGAATGGCGTGAACCCGGGAGGCGGAGCTTGCAGTGAGCCGAGATCCGGCCACTGCACCCCAGCCTGGGTGACAGAGCGAGACTCCGTCTCAAAAAAAAAAAAAAAAAAAAAAAAAAGGAGTTCCTCCACCGGAAGACCTGGCCTATCAGGGACCAGAATTACCGGAGCAGTTTCTAGTTAAGCCGCCCTCCGGTGTAGGTCCTGCTACTAATTTACATTACGGAGCACGTTTACAGCCTCTGCCTTCCATTTCCCCGATAAAGCTGCTGGTCTGTTTATTAACATTCCTGAAGGGTACATTTAGCTGGAAAGCCAGTCTCAAAAATGTTGGCTTAGAGCCCGGCCTCGGTGGCGCACGCCTGCAGTCCCAGCTGCGCAAGAGGATGGCCTGAACCCAGGTGTACGATAGCAGCCTGGGCAACATGGAGAGCCCCACTGTCAAAATAAATAAATAAATAAATAATAAAAATAGGCCGCGGGCGGCGGCTCACGCCTGTAATCCCAGCACTTTGGGAGGCCGCGGCGGGCGGATCACGACGTCAAGAGATCGAGGCCAATCTGGCTAACACAGTGAAACCCCGTCTCTACTAAAAATGCAAAAAATTAGCCGGGCGTGGTGGCGGCGCCTGTAGTCCCAGCTACTCAGGAGGCTGAGGCAGGAGAATGGCGTGAACCCGGAAGGCGGAGCTTGCAGTGAGCCGAGATCGCGCCACTGCACTCCAGCCTGGGGACAGAGCGAGACTCCGTCTCAAAAAAAAAAAGAAAAATTTTAGGTTCAACTTAAGTTTAAGTTTCTCATATTCTTTCATTTTTTTTTTCCTATCTTTTATTTGGTCTCTGTATTTGTTCCTTTTTACCGTTCCTGACATGTGTTGCTGCGGGGGTAGATGCTGATGCAACCACGCTATGAGCCGCGTTTTGTGATTCCAATTATTTCTCCCCAGAAACTGGTCTTAGAAATCTGAAGTACTCCTAAGCATAGTGAATAACATAATACAATTCTCACCACCACCATCACCGCTTTTAAAATAAAGTCTTTGACCTCTGTGTTTTCTCACTGGAGGAAGCTGGACTCCCTCTGGTTTGAGGTTTACTTAAATACATTCCTCTTCCAAAGACTGAAGTCAACATTAAAAAAAAAAAAAAAAAAAAAAAAAAGACGGCTGCCTTGACTTCCCAACCCCGCTATAGTCTTACAGTCAAGAAGGGCATTATCTGACTTACCTGAATCGTCCCGAGAATTTTCTTGGGTCAGCATTTGTGAAGACTCTGGGATGGAGGTTGGACTAAACTGCTGTGATGGGTCCATCTGCGTCTTGAACACTAAGCTTCTCCTGGATCTTTGAAACCAAGCAGAAACTGACGACTGACCCTCAAATTGCTACAAGGTAGCCCGGAAAGAGGCTGAAAACCCGAGCTCCAACGAATGGTCAAAGAACCGACGTAAAATGTAGGTCCGGCTTCCTCTTAAAATACAGATAAGCCAATCTTCCAGGATATTTGAATGTTAATGATCCAATGATTAGAGGATTAAGGGGTCTAAATGATTAAAGGTTAATGGGCGTAGTTTAGACTAGTAGGGTAGTTCTTCACTGCTTTGCATTAAAATAATATGTCCTATGTCATAGCTGCTAGAAAATTTATAAAACGCCTCTCTTTCGTTGTTCTGTCTCCCTAAGGTTGCCTTACATATAAGTTGTTTTTTTTCTTGCTATTTTTTGTTTTCCCAAACTCTACTCCTGAAGATGGCTTCTGTTTTGTGAACTGGGCTTAAGTGTTCTAGTGTAGAGAGGAGAATGGCAGTTTTTACCGCCCCCACCCCACCACCACCACTGCCCATAAACTCCCAATTAAGCTAAGAAAGTTTCCTTTAAGTTTTCCTTGCCTAAATCATCTTAAACCTTTGCTGCTACGAAGAAGAGAGGAAAAATGAACAAGTATCTGTTATGAACACTTTCATAGCTTTATATTTTAGGGACATGTATTTTTTATTTGTTTCATAAACTATAAACCTAATAGTACTTAACATTTCTGAGCAGCTGAAATTAACTAAACTTACAAATTGCTACTCCTTCCCCACCAAAAAATGCTTGTATTCCTAGCAAAGCACACCAACATTTAACCACTGATTGTCTACAGGAGGTGGAAGAACAAGTCCCCAGCTGCCCCGCTTTTTACCTCTTACTCAAATACGCACCCTCCCCCATTCTCTCTCTAGGTGGAAACCACGAGAAAATACTCAAAGGCAATCTTGTTTGGGTTTGGTAAAAAGCAAAAATTGAAGTTATGATTTAAGAAATATTTTCATAGAGAATGAGCAACCACAGACATAGACTGTGTCTCAACACTTTATGCAAGTGATTCTCAAAAGTGTGGTCTCCAGGATGGCTTAATCACCCAGGAGGTGATTGCAGTGACCTATGATCATGCCACTGCACTCCAGCCTGGGAGACAGGGCAGGACCCTGCCTTTACAAAAAAAAAAAAAGGTGCGGACTACAACAAGCACCTAGTTAACTTAGATACACAAATTCTGAGCCCCGACCCAGCCCTACTGAATCAAAGACTGGGGCCCAGTGGTCAGTGCTTTAACAAGCCTCCCAGGCAATTCTGCACTTAACCAGAAGACCCAGAAGCTACCCCCAGGTGATTCTGATGGGTGCTCAAGTTAAGCAGCCCTGCTTTATGGCACTGTGAACTTTCTACTTCTGTTGTTCAGCTCTTGGCTAATCTCCCTCATGCCCTGGGAGTCTCTCTGATATCAGTCCCCAAGAATTCCACTGGAGAGATAAATACAAAAAAATCCCATTGCAGGGGGTTTAGGATTAGGTGGTGAGACAACAAAAAGGGCTGAAATAGACTCTCATTTATTAAAAACCTAGGCTGGGCACAGTGGCTCACGCCTGTAATCCCAGCACTTTGGGAGGCTGAGGCAGGTGGATGCGGCAGGAGTGGATCCTGGCCTGTGAAAGCCCAGGAGTTCCAGGAACTAACCTGGCCAACATGGGTGAAAACCAGTCCTCCACTAAAAATACAAAACGGAGGAGGCGGAGCTTGCAGTGAGCTGAGATCCGGCCCTGCACTCCAGCCTGGGCGGCAGAGCGAGACTCCGTCTCAAAAAAAAAAAAAAAAAAAAAAAAAATTAGGCCACGCACAGTGGCTCACGCCTGTAATCCCAGGACTTTGGGAGACTGAGGCGGGCGGATCACAAGGTCAGGAAATCGAGACCATCCTGACTAACACAGTGAAACCCCATCTCTACTAAAAATACAAAAAATTAGCTGGGAGTGGTGGCGGGCGCCTGTAGTCCCAGCTACTTGGGAGGCTGAGGCAGGAGAATGGCGTGAACCCCGGAGGCAGAGCTTGCAGTGAGCCGAGATCGCGCCATGGAACTCCAGCCTGGGTGAGAGTGCGAGACTCTGTCTCAAAAAGAAAAAAAAAAAAGGCTCCATCTCAAAACAAAACAAATATAACAATTAGCCGGGCATGATGGCAACCACCTGTAATCGCAGCTACCCAAGAGGCTGGGGCAGGAGAATCACTTGAATGTAGGAGGTAGAGGTTCCAGTGAGCCGAGATTGCACCACTTCACTCCAACCTGGGTGACAGAGCAAGACTCAGTCTCAAAAAAAGTAAAAATAAAAAAGAAAAGAACCAAATTAGAAGGATGAGGAACCAAATTTGAAATATGTTAATACATGATAAGGAAGAGGAAAAAAGCCACATCTGCAAGTTAGAAGTCAAGAAAGAATGCCTAAATGGAAAAAATCAAGACATATCATTACAAACTTGCTCTATAGGCCAGTAACAGTGGCTCATGCCTGGACTCCCAGAACTTTGGGAGGCCAAAGTGGTGGATCACCTGAGGTCGGGAGTTCGAGACCAGCCTGGCCAACATGGTGAAACCCCATGTCTACTAAAAATACAAAAATTAGCCAGGCGTGGTGGTGCACGCCTGTAGTCCTAGCTACTCTGGAGGTTGAGACTGAAGAATTGCTTGAACCCAGGAGGCAGAGGTTGCAGTAAGCTGAGATCATGCTGTTGCACTCCAGCCTGGGCGACAAGAGTAAAACTCCATCTGAAAAACAAAACAAAACAACAAAAAAACTTTCCCTATAGAAATACACAAGGGCTGGGCACAGTGGCTCAAACGCCTGTAATCCCAGCACTTTGGGAGGCCAAGGTGGGCAGATCACTTGAGACCAGGAGTTTGAGACCAGCCTGGCAAACATGGTGAAACCCCACCTCTGCTAGAAATACAAAAATTAGCCAGGCGTGGTGGCAGATGCCTGTAGGCCCAGCTACTCGGGAGGCTGAGGTGAAAGAATCGGTTGAACCTGGGAAGCAGAGGTTGCAGTGAGCTGAGATCACGCCACTGCACTCCAGCCTGGGCGACACAGTGACAGACTCTGTCTCAAAAACAAAAACGAAAACAGAAAGAAAAGAAATACACAAATACCCCCCAAAAGCCATCCAAACCAAAGTTTAAAGTGGGTGCTTCCAGGAAAAAGAAAACAAAGAATGCAGCATAGGACGGCAGTTGGGACATGTGTCTGTTTTATGAAACTTAGAACTACTTGCTACTTTATAGTATATGCACGTACAACTTCTTGAATTTAAAAAAAGCCGGGGGAAAAGGGGGTAAAGGGGCCAGGCATGGTGGCTTATGCCCATAATCCTAGCACTTTGGAAGGCCAATGGAGGGGCAGATCACTCGAGGCCAGGAGTTTGAAACCAGCCTGGCCAACGTGGAAAAACCCCGTCTCTACTAAAAATATAAAATTAGCTGGGCGTGGTGGCACATGCTTGTAATCCCAGCTCCTTGGGAGGTCGATGTGGGAGAATCCCTTGAACCAGGGAGGGGGAGGTTGCAATGAGCCTAGATGGGCCACTGCACTTCAGCCTGGGCAACAGAGCAACACTCTGTATCCAAAAAAAAAAAAAAAATGCAGGGAAGGAAAGAGGGGAGTAAGAAAAAGAAAAAAATGGGGGAGAAAACAGTTATCAGATGTAAAACACATAAGAGAAGGGGAAAGGGAAGCAAGAATGAATGTAGGGAAATCCATAAGAATATTGCATTGTAAGAGTCTGGATGAGTAATGAAAATTATTTAAGTGTTTAATAATACATGATAAAGTTAGAACTTTAAAAAGTTCATAAATTCAGTTAAGAAAGTCTGTTATGTGTATAGAGGAAACAGGGCCGGGCCTGGTGGCTCAATCCTATAATTCCAGCACTTTGGGAGGCGGGAGCCGGAGGATCTCTTGAGCCCAGGAGTTTGAGGCCAGCCTGAACAACAAAGCGAGGCAAGGTCTCCACAAAAAAAATGTAAAAATTAGCTGGGGCTGATGGCACAGACCTGTGGCCCCCTATATGGGTACCCAATAGGGGTCACTGAGGCAGGAGGATGGCTTGAGGATGGCTTGAGTCCAGGAGTTGAAGGCTGCAGTGAGCTATGATTGCACCATTGCACTCCAGCCTGGGCCACAGACACCCTGTCTCAAAAATATATATTTTTTTGCCCTCCCATTTTGAAACAAATTCATATAAATAAACACACATGTATACGTGTGTGTGCGCGTGTAGGTGTGTGTATCGTATTCCAGAGAGCGAAAGCCTGGTAAGGGGAAGAGAAGGGCTGCTATTTTGGAAAACTCTATCAGACATGCAGCTATTTTTCTTTTTTCTTTCTTTATTTTTGAGACGCAGTTTTGCTCTTGTTGCCCAGCTGGAGTGCAATGGCACGATCTCGGCTCACCGCAGCCTCTGCCTCCCAGGTTCAAGCAATTCTCCTGCCTCAGCCTCACCAGTAGCTGGGATTACAGGCATGCACCACCACGCCCAGCTAATTTTGTATTTTTAGTAGAGATGGGGTTTCTCCATGTTGGTCTGGCTGGTCTCAAACTCCCGACCTCAGGTGATCTGCCCGTCTAGGCCTCCCAAAGTGCCGGGATTATAGGCGTGAGCCACCGCGCCCGGCCTGCCATTTTTTTCTTTCTTTTTTTTTTTTTTGTTTTTTGTTTTTTTTTTTTTTTTTTTGTTTTTTGAGACGGAGTTTCGCTCTTGTTGCCCAGGCTGGAGTGCAATGGCTCCATCTCGGCTCACTTCAACCTCTGTCTCCCGGGTTCAAGCAATTCTCCTGCCTCAGCCTTCTTAGTAGCTGGGATTACAGGAATGCGCCACCACGCCGGGCTAATTTTGTGTTTTTAGTAGAGACGGGGATTTCTCCATGTTGGTCAGGCTGGTCTGGAACTCCCGACCTCAGGTGATCCGGCCACCTCGGCCTCCCAAAGTGCTGAGATTACAGGCGTGAGCCACCGCGCTCTGCCGACATGCAACTATTTTGCTTGCGATCTTTCCATGGTTTCTGACCCTGGCGGCCCAGGCGTCCCCCCGGGCCTCTTGGCCCCGGAAGCCCCACCTCAACCCTAGGCTCCCTTTGCATTGGCCCTCACTCTCCACCCTAGCATACGTGCGGTTCAAACCGTACGTTTCCACCTGGCTTTGAAGGTTACCCGCCTTGCATTCCTGCAGTGGAAGCCCAAGGGGCACGATGGAGTAGAGCAGCCCCGCTGGGGTGGGGCGGGAGGGTCCGGAGTTCACCTCGGCGGGACGCCACAGGCGAGCAAAACAGCTCCTGGCGTCCACGCCTCCTCCTCACCTCCCACGGCCCTCAGTTACCTTCCTCTCCAGGAATCCTTAGTTTTTGGAATTCTACAGTGAGAAATTAATACTCCCAGGGCCAATTATTTAATAGCTTAGTGGAAAATACTTAATGATGA